AAAGAAAGAAAGAAAGAAAGAAAGAAAGAAAGAAAGAAAGAAAGAAAAGAAATTGCACTCTCAGGAGCCTGGGAAAGGAAGATCCCAGCCTGCCTGGACCACGTGAATGAAATCCCTCAAGACAAAAAGAAGGGGCTTGGTAGGGGGAGTGCTAGGGATATTGGTTGGTAGTAGAGCACTTACCTAGCATATGTGAGGCACTAGGGTCAATCTACACTATGGCCATGATCCCTAAAATACAGGGATTATGTTCCTCTTGCTGATGAGGTTCCCTAACTTGGGTGGAACAGGAAGGAGAAGTGTGTGTTCACTTAGCTGTTGATTTCCAAAGAGTGTCTCTCTGGGACCTATGAAATCTAAATCTCTTAGCCATGTGATTCTAAACACTGTGAACTTCCCACTCCTTCTAACATGAGAAGTTCAGAAAGGCTCAAAGACTTGCCCATGGTCATAAAGACCAGAGGCAGAATGAGCCTTGAACACTGACACCCTTGACCATAAATATGGGCACAGACTGTCTCAGGCTCTCTGTTAAGCTTCTGCCCAATTCTGCTGGGCATTCTGGACCTGCTTTATGTCTCTGTGTCCATTATACAAGCTCAGCATGTGTGGAAGACTGACGCGAAAGACTTCTCAGAGGTACAAAGGGCCTCACTGCCTGTGGAACTTAGGAGACATTGCACCTCTGATCTAACCGCCCCATTACTCTTCAAACCTTGTCTTTTTTATATGTGAGCTAACGTACTTTCTTTCTCGTTGTGTTAACCATCGAGTCAGGTTTGACTGAATCCTAACAAGCGTGAGCATGTCGGACTCCAGCCTCACGGCTCTTACTCTCCAGGACATGCGATGAAGCGCTTGCTTCAAACCATCTTTTGTTCTGTTCACAAGCTAGCTCATGGAGCTAAGTCCAGGTCCATTGATGAGATTGTATGTTCTTGGAGAACAGGAGGCCTTGCAGTGATGAGAAATGTAAAGCTCTAAGTTCTGTCTGACTCCAGGGGCAAATGGCTGAGCCTGCCTCACTCTGTGGTGGTTTAAATATAACCACAAGTCCCACGTGAGACGCTTAATCCTCAAATGCAGTACTCAGATGTGGGACCTGAGTGATGATTTGAACATCAGGAGTTTCACCCTCATGAATAGATTAATAGATTCATCAATGAGACTGGATTAATTATCAAGAATGTTAGCTTCAGACAAAAGAGTAAGTTCAGCCTCTACCCCATCCCCACACCCAGCTCTCACATGGAACAAGTGTGTATGCCTTCTGCCGAGGATGAGGGAGCAAGAAGGCCTCACAAGATGAAAACCCCTCTACCTTGGACATCTAGGACCTGCAGGAAACAAACCTCTGTTCCTTTTGTTGCTTTGTTTGTTTGTTTGTTCTTCAAAACAGGGTTTCTCTGTATAGCACTGTCTCTGTAGACCAGACTAGCCTCAAACTCAGAGATCCTCCTGCCTCTGCCTCTGGAGTGCTGGGATTAAAGGTGTGTACACTGTCACCTAGCTAAACCTCTACTCTTTATAAACTCCCCAAGCTCAGATTCTGTTACAGCAGTAGTAAATGGGCTATGATGCCCTCTCCTCTCAGACTGCTTTATGGCCCTGTGGGGACTGCTTACCTAAGGAGTAGTCGGTAAATAAATGGTCTCCCTCACACCAGTTCTCGGTGGAACACTGTAGGTCACATTCATGGAGCATCAATGAACATACGATGTATGAATGTGTGTGTGTGTGTGTGTGTGTGTGTGTGTGTGTGTGTGTGTGTATAAAACCGTTTCTATAAATGGGATTAGAAATCAAAACTATGATTATCCAGTGGGTAGATGGAAGATGCTGACAAAGTGGATTAGGGTATATCCTCAACAGATGAGATTATTCTGCATTTTATTTTCTATGGTGATTACAAGGGCATACATAGTTGTCGACTTCTATTAAACTAAAAATCTAAGCTTTTTGCATTTTATATATAAACTATGCCTTCATTTAAAAAATATTAAAGGGACTGGGGAAATGGTTCAGCATTTTAGAGCACTTGCTAATCCTGGGTTCAATTCCTAGCACTTACACGGCTGACAATCATCTATAATTCCAATCTCAGGGTATGATTTTGGATCTCCACAGGCATCAGGCACATGTAGGATGCACTTACATACATGCAGGCAAAACACTCATACAAAGAAAACAAGATAAATAAATCTAAAAAATTAATTTTAAGAGCCTGTATTCTGAGATCATGTCCAGCCCTCGATCATGGATGCCATTATAAACTAGTCATGTCTACTAGCATTTTTGTTATTCATGGGCCTTTTTTTTCCTGGTTTCTCAAGACTGGGTTTCTTTGTGTAGTCCTGACTGTCCTGGAACTTGCTATGTAGACCAGGCTGGCCTTGAACTCACAGAGCCCAAGCTGCCTCAGTCTCTCGAATGCTGGGATTAAAGGCATGTGCCAACACTGGCCGTTTATTCATGGGTTTAATGAATCATCTTCTGAGAGTTTGTGCATCATTTAAAAAATCTGTCCACCCTATAGGATTACAGTGAACTAAAGACCCTACATACAATATAAATCTCAGTCAAGCCTTAGCTGTTATATATTTGTTCCCACATGTCTTGCACTGAGGGGCTGACTTTGGAAGGAAGAGACCCAGAAAATTCTCTCTAGCTGAAATGAAATGCAACACTATCAACTATTTTCAAAATGCCAGGCTTCCTGTGATCATGGCCAGGCTTTGTCTGTCTCAGCTCTCCCTTGAGTAACACTGAGCACTCAGGCCCATGCTTTCCCACTGCATCAGGGCCATTTTGAAGGGACTGACATGATTTCCACAGCTGAACTAATTCTTCTGAGGCTTTGTTCTTTCTTAACGCTCTAGCTCAAGAAGGAGTCTGGCTTTTGTCATTTCTCCTTCCCCTCTGACTGTGTATCTTCAGGGGCCTTTCAGGGCTTTGCTCTCTGGACTCTTGGATTGTGTTTATTAGCCAAGGCATTTGTTCTTGGTGCCTTCTGGCCCCTCCTGGGAGTCTCTGGATTGCTGACAAGGATTGGGCTAACCAGCCTGCATCAGTGGGAGTCTCGGGGCTCAGCTGCTGTGCTGTTTTCTGATTGGTGTCCCCACAGAGGAAACAGGACAGAGCCTGGCAACCTTACCTCTACTTCCGAAGCAAGCCAGAGAGTCAGACCCAACGGCAGATCCAGCCTGGGTATTCAGCCAAGAGATACCTCCGAGGCCTTCTGCGGACATGGCCCCCTGACACCATGTACAGACTCCAGTGTGCAGGTCAGTGGGAAAATGTGCAGGAGCGGACACTAGTCTGCCCCATCTCCCAGTCTGACGTGAAGGTGTGTTTCCCATTGATGCCAGAAACACCACGACTTAAGGTCCAGCTCTGCAAAGTCCCCAAGCTGTGTAGTCCACAAGCCTCCATCCCACCTAGTGCCTTTTATCTGCCAGGACATTTTTGGAAGGAAGGGCTACCTGAGTACTGGTCCCCGCTCACACTGTTCATCCTCACCCCAATCCAGAGCTTGCTTCTCAGCCTACTCCAGGCCAAGGCCTCAGAGATCTTCCATCTTAAACTCCACTGGTCACAAGACAAAACAAAAGGAGTTCTTTTTTTTTTTTTTTTTTTGGTTTTTCGAGACAAGGTTTCTCTGTGTAGCCCTGGCTGTCCTGGAACTCACTCTATAGACCAGGCTGGCCTCGAACCCAGAAATTCTCCTGTGCCTGTCTCTGCCTCCCAAGTGCTGGGATTAAAGGCATGCGCCACCACTGCCAGGCACAAAAGGAGTTCTAAATACACAGTCTTTCTTTGTCCAGAGTCGGCTAGCCAGAAGCAGAGTTGGCTAGCCAGAAGGAGAGCTGAGCCCAGAAAGTCAATACTTCCCACTTCCACAGCACCATAGTCGTCCCAGAATTCCCTGTCTAAGGTCATCTCAGGTCCTCTTTAAAACAACAATTCTCCAGCATGATCACTGCTGGAGAGGCACCCCTCTGCCTGACAGAACCCTAAAAGCACCCTGCAAAAGCACCCTGGAAATTTGAGTCACCTCATTCAGCACACTACACCCACATTAACAGCGAAACTCTCAATATTTGAGACATATTTCTACTAAAAAGTATTTATTATTTATCTGAAAGTTAAACTTAATTGGACATCTTGTATTTTATTTGACAAACTACTTGGGAGAGATGGGTGGTAAGATGTGCCAGACCTCACTCAGCCGCTTGCCGTTCCTTCAGCACCCACAGGACCAGAGAATTCTGGCTTGCTTCTTATTTTATAGGTTTACCTGGAAAAGGAAAGAAACCAGCTCCCTGCCCAGTAAGTGGTGGTTTGAAACAAGATGAGCTATGTGGGCTTCTCTGGCAATTAGTTTTACTCTCAAGGCAGAGTCCCATGGTTATGGGCAGTTCTATTTACTTACCATTTGAGAGGAAGAGCTTCTCAACCAAAAAGTGTTATCACTGGATGGGACCAAGGCAGAGCAGGCTACCATCTCACAGTCTGGGCCCAACAGCCTCAAGAAAGGTAACACCTTTAAAACAACAACAAAAAGATCTCAGACCCATCTATAACATTGTCTAGCATGTATGGTCTAAGAAAAGGTACAGGTAGCTTGTATTTGTGGGCCCCTTGACATAGCTCCTTGCTAAAGACCCTCTTTAAAGTAGGCCCTCAAGTTGGAGGAGTCATGCTGAGATTCCAGTGAGAAGCCACTATCTCAACAGCTCTGTCATTCTCTTCCCCTCACGATTCAGAACTTGCTCACTGTTCGATGTCAGTGACGTCCTCTAGTCCTGTTTCCCTGACCCTGTGATGAATCCCCACACTTCACGCTTGTTTCTTTTCTTTTTCTTTCTTTCTAAAAACTTTTTTTTCTTCAGTATTTGTTTTGTTTTGAGACAGGCTTTTTCCTAGCCAGCTTGGAAATCGCTGCATAAACCAGGCTAGCCTCAACCTCATAGACATCGTCCTGCTTCAGCCTCAGTGCTGGGATTAAAGGCATGAGCCCACCATCCCCAGCGTTAAAGGGTTTTCAAACAAATGTTAGTGTTAGTATACAAAGTAACCGGTTTCATCAGGACACCTTCACTCAGACATCATTAGGGCCATGGTTCTCAATCTTCCTAATGCTGTGACCCTCGTGTTGTGGTGACCCCCAAGCATAAAAATATTTCACTGCTATTTCATAACTATTTTTGCTACTGTTATGAATAGTGATGTAAGTATCTGATATGCAGCTCCTGTGAAAGGATTGTTCAATACCTCCAAAAGGGTTGCAACCTACAGGTTGAGAACCATACATAAGGTGCGTTCTAGTTCCTCTCGATGGATGTGTGGCTCTTCACACATCTGCCTTCACCGTCAGTCCTCCTCCTGCCTTACTACACAGACCATTGCGCTCTCTCTCTCTCTCTCTCTCTCCCTCTCCCTCTCCCTCTCCCTCTCCCTCTCCCTCTCCTCCCTCTCCCTCTCCCTCTCCCTCTCCCTCTCCCTCTCCCTCTCTCTCTCTCTCTCTCTCTCTCTCTCTGTTTTCTGCCTCCTTTACGATATCTTCATACCCTCTCATGACGCCCTTTGTAGTTTCATAATTTATGTGCATGTGCGTGTGCACAGACACAGATACACATATGCCTAAAGGAACATATACAAAAATTTTCATCTAGACTGCATACATAAGCCTGAATCTTCTATAAAGTCTTCTCTAACAATTCCATCCACTACTGAGCTTCTGACCTTCTGACCTCACATCAAACTGACACTGGGAGCTGAAGGGCTGAGTACAGAGAGGTCCATCTCTTCAAACCCCGCTCTGAGGAATCCATGTCTAGTTCCCCGGCATCTACCCTGTGGCAAGCAGAGGGTGGGCCCTTGGTAAGCCTTCAGGAAATACTGCAGGTTGGCTAGATTAGATTCAGAAAGCTGCTGAGCCTGAGGCAGCCAGAAGCAAGCAAGCCCTGCCTACTGTGATGAGATCTTTCTGAAGCAAAACAGCAAGCCTCCTAGTGAACAGAAGGAAGCAGCCCCAGTTTTGGTTTTCCTTGGTTTTTTTTTTTTTTTTTTTTTTTTTCTTTTCTCAAAAAGGACCTAGTTCTTAGGAATGACAAAGTAGGACTGAGTGCTGAGAAACACCCAAGGCACGTGAGAGAGTGTCCGTGCATTCTGTCTGAGTTTTCTAACTCTTCTCAACTCTGGATTGTCCACTTTAACAACTGTTCAAAGCCAGGACTACTGCAAGTGGGGAACTTGTAGTTTTCCTGGAACTCTAGATTGGTTACTATGATTGACATCAACAACTCCTGACCTGCCCCTCAGGACACATCAAGGATTCTGTGCTGCTCCGGAACAGTCACCTTGGGATACCCAAGAATCTCAGGCCACAACAGGATCTTTCAGGTGTACCCCCAAAATACCATTTCCTGCCTGTCATCCCTTCATTTTGGATTCAACAGAGATCGCCCTATCCACAAGGTACCTGTTGTTGTTTTTTTTTCATTTTTCATGTATGTGTGTGTGTGCTGAGATGTGTATGTGCATATGCGTGTTTGATTGTGTGGGAGCACTCATGTGTGGGTGGGGTGCTCATGCACATATGTGGGTGCGTGGGTGCTGAGGCCTGAGGCAAATGTTGGGAATCACTCTACGTGGTACTGAAGCGGGTCTCTCAATCAAACCCAATGCTCACTAAGTTGGTAGTCTTGCTAACCAGCTTGCCTTGGGGATCCCCTGTCTTTAGCCTCTGAGGTTGGATTCTAAGCAGGATGCTATACCCACACAGCATTTGAGTGAGTTCTGGGAATTCAAACTCTGGCCTTGATGTGTCTAGCACTTTAACCACGGAGCCATCTCTGCAGTCTATACCTGTTGATTTTATAACCAGTTCAGTCCGCAGATACTTGGATTATTTTTAACAGCTTAAAATAAAGTTTTCATAAGCATTTGGGAGCCAGAGGCAGGCGGATCTCTGTGAGTTCAAGGCCAGCCTGGGCTACAGAGTGTATTCTAGGACAGCCAAAGCTACACAGAGAAACCTGCCTCGCAAAACCAAAATAAAATAAAGTTTCACAGAATAAAATCCAGAGGATCTGGTCCATCGACTTCGTTTGTAAGACAAAGGCCTCAGTCTGGATAGAGTGACGCCTGAGATGTCCAGAAGAGTGGCTATTAATCACATATCTCTAGTGAGAGCTTCAAATGTAGCTACTGCAACTGTGAAACAGTTTTTAATTTAATTTTGATCCATTTACATGTGAATAGCATGTGGCTAGTGGCTGCTGAACTGAACAACAGAGCTATAGACTTTAGTGTTCAGATTTCTGAAGTTTGTTCTAGTCTAATATTCTTTCCTGTTGGTTGGTTGGTTGGGTTTTTTTTTTTTTTTTTGATAAAGGATCTCACTATGAAGGTCAGAATAACCTAAAACTCACAGTCTCCCAGCCTCAGCTTTCTAAATGCTAGCGTTAAAGATGTGTGTCACCATCTAACATTCTTTAATCTTGTAATTTTTGTGACAATGCTTTAAACAAATAAACTTTAGAACTATGAATCTGTTTTGCAAAGTCTCTCATTTGATTTGTGGGATGAAAGATCTTGAGCAAGTCAGATAACCTCTTTGAATTGAGCTTGCATTTGTCCATCTGTGTAATGGGAATGTTACAACTACTCGATACTGCACAGGAAAATTCCTGTGATATGCCTGTACACTGTTCAGTAGTGTGGAGATTTTACCTGCTAATACTTTTCTTGGGATCATGTGTCACTGAAAGAGCAGTTAAGGGATTGGAAGAGATATCTTAGAATAGAGCCTAACTTGATATAAAGATATCTGATGCCGGGCAGTGGTGGTGCACGCCTTTAATCCCAGAACTTGGGAGGCAGAGGCAGGTGGATTTCTGAGTTCAAGAGTTCGAGGCTAGCCTGGTCTACAGAGTGAGTTCCAGGACAGCCAGGACTACACAGAGAAACCCTGTCTCGAAAAAAACAAAAAACAAGCAAACAAAAAGAAACCAAAAAATAAAAATATATCTTTCTGAAATCCAAAAGGATTTTTCCAGAAACAATGGCAATATCAGATCAAGCTCTCACCTTAGGAGATCTTGTGGAGATCAGCAGGGGGAGTGTAGAACATGGCGGGTCTTCAGAGGCTGGAGCCACCACGTACTCCAACCACACAGTCACTTGAACCTAGACTTAGTGCCACTGAACCCTGATCAGAACCTGGACCACATGTGGTTTGCCTATATAAAACACAGCGGTCCATCGATTGTCTTTCTTATCATACGTCTATACTTTTGTTACGTCACAAGTCTCTATGTGCTTTGTAACATGGGTGGAAATTCCATAAAGCAGGACATGGATGAAATGTTTCTGGGCAATCAATCCATGTTCTGGCAACTGCAACCCACCTAGGTAATGTCATGTGAGACTAACTCCACTCTTTCTTAGTGGAGGGCCACCTCATTGGGGTCTTACGAAGTCTTCCCTCATAGACCCTACTCCAGTTATCAATAGCCTGGGATTCTGATGCTCTGGGATCCAAGACAGTGGCCAAAGAATTGAAGCACTTTCATTGGGGAAGGGGTCTCAAGACTTCAGAACTGTGGGATCTGTGACTTCACTGACACCATCTACCATGGAGCTGTTACCATCAGGCAGAAAACAGAGAGGCAAGGTAGACAAGGACATGTGGTGTAGCACAGGATTTAAAGCCATATGATGTCTCTGGGCCTCAGTTTCCTCATTTATAAAACAGAGATACCATACCACAGGTACTTAATAGGATTGTATGTGGGAGTTCAAGGATATAGTGCAGTCCCTGGCATATAGCAAGTGCTCAATAAATGTTAATTACAGACCTCCCTAGATTTTTTTTCCAGCATAATTACTAATTGCAGTGCCCAATTGCCCGTGATCACAGGGGGTTGGGAGGGGAAGAAAAAAATCAATGGTAAAGAACTATATGATGTTCAGAGGCTGAAGTTTGGACCCCACTGTTTTCATTGATTTTAACTTCATTTTCCCTTAGTGTCTTTCTTTCTTTTTTCTTTTTTAGAAGTAGCAAAAGTCTTGGCTGTAAAGCTCAGATCTCCAACAATGAGCTGTTACCCAAGCTCTGTTCCTTGCTTCCTCAGTTTACTCAGCTGTAAAATGGGAACAATGGTGTTTGCAGTCTTTCCCCTGTGTGCTTTTATGAAAAATCTCAGGAGGGCTGAGGAGATAGCTCAGTGAGTAAGGGCACTCACTGTGACAGCAAGAGGACCTAAATTGAAACCCCCAGCACCCATCTAAAAGCTAAGTGGAGAATCTAGAACTCCAGTGGTTAGAGATGGAGACCAGTAAAAAGAGACCCAGGGCTTGCTGGCCAGTTTGCCCAACCAAGATGGTGAGTGTCTGAGCTTTGGTTTCATTTCTGTGAAGAGACACTATGACCAAGGCAGTTCTTATAAAGGACAAGATTTAGTTGGGGCTGGTTTATAGTTTCAGAGGTTTAGTCCATTATCATCATGGTGGGAAGCACGGCAGAGTGCAGGCAGACATCGTGCTGGAGGAGCTAAGAGTCCTACATCTTGATCTGAAGGCAGCCAGAAAAAGACTCTCCACACTGGGCGGAGCTTGAGCACTAGGAGCTCTCAGAGCCCGCATCCACAGTGACGCACCTCCTCCAACAAGGCTACACCTCATAATTGTGCCATTTCCCATGGCCGAGTGTGTTCAGACCACCAGAGTGAGCTTCTGGATCAGCAGGGAGCCTGTTCAAACACTAAGATGATAAAAGTGCTTCCCTTTAATCCCAGTACTAGTGAGGCAGAGGCAAGAGGATATTTGTGAGTTCAAGGCCAGCCTAGTCTACATCGAAAGCTCTAGAACAGCCAGGGTAATGGGGAGAGACACTGTCTGAATTTTTTAAAAGAAAGAATTTTTTTTTTTTTTTTTTTTTTGGTTTTTCAAGACAGGGTTTCTCTGTGTAGTCCTGGCTGTCCTGGAACTCACTCTGTAGACCAGACTGACCTTGAACTCAGAAATCTGCCTCCCAAGTGCTGGGATTAAAGGCGTGCGCCACCACTGCCCGGCTAGAGGAAGACTCTTGTATCCTCTCCATGATCGTGTGTGTGTGTGTGTGTGTGTGTGTGTGTGTGTGTGTGTGTGTGTGAGAGAGAGAGAG